AAAGCATGGGAATTCCCAATGGCTCTTCAGGGTAGGTTAGGCAGAGTGGCTGGAAGTTCAATCAGTGGTATTCTTCTTTTTCCATCAGCACTGTGCCAATGTCACTGTGCAGCTCCTTTCATTGATAGCTTGCAGACACAGTGTTCAGCATCCTTTCTGAAAATTCCTCTAATTAGAACAGATATTTTCAAGGCTGCTTTTTGTCTGGGGATGTAGTATTATAGGACTTCACAGAATCATGGAAGGTTTGAGATTGCAAGGAGTCTTTAGAGATCATTTCGTCCAACACCTCTGCTCAGTCAGGGTCACATAGAGCTGCCTAGGACTGTGTCCAGTCAGCTTTTGAATATCTCCAAGGATGGAGACTGCACAGCCCCTCTGGGCAATGTGTCCTGTGCTCAGTCCGCGTGTGTATAGCTTGGGGGTAGGGTTTTGGGGGCCTTCCACATACGACTGCTCTAGGCCGCCTGGCTAGCATGACTGTGGCAGAATGAGGTACCAATCTCTGCACATAGCAAAGTTCCCAGGGTTCCCAGGACTAGCCAGTGTTCAGCCTTAGTTTCCTTATCTGACCTAAAGATTGTCTAGCTTTGCTGTATGCTGCTTGGCTAATACTTTATTTACAGTTAAACTGGTTGGATGCACAGTGACCTATTTGTGTACTTTCTGTATTTTGAAATATTGTCCAGAAATATCTATAAATGCTGAGCTGCATTTTGCATGTGCAATCTAATAATTTTCTATTAATACTTATGCAGTGTCAGATAAGACTCCCATGATATTTTTAAGCAAGTTAACCTTTGGTCCTTTCCAATCTGAAAAATTATTGTCTGACTACCTACATGTCTGACTATCTCTTGCATTTTCAATTGGAAAAGCTAATTTTTGCTTCCCATCTTAAGTGATTGTGTAATGTTGCTCTGCAGTGTTAGGTAGACATTGCATTCCTCTACATTGCTGGATGTGTTTTGCTGGTGAAAAAAATGAGATTATAGAGGTATCATGGTTTTACAGACGTGTTTAAACCTAAATATAGATGTCTCTAAAACAACTTTGTCTCATATCTCTGTCACATATTACGTATCAGGAAGCAAGACAGAAAGTAATAGTGTAACATATAAAAGATTTTATTGGTCACACTGGAGTTTAGGATTTAATAAATTGTTTTGGAGTGGCAATATCACAAAGAGGCTGTAAACACTGCCACTCCATCAGGAACAGAGGAAAAACTGCCCATCTGAAATAATTCCTAAGAAAATACATTGATACCTTTTAAAAATTGCTCTTGATTTGTGAAATTAGATTCTAGCACCAGCTACTGGAAATAATTTAGGGCAAATGGCCTGTTTTGTGACTGTAGCCTTGTCTCGTGTCTATGAACTCCTGCACATCTATTTGCAAATGGTCCCGGAAAAAAAGAATGCCGCTCACAAAGAAAGAGACCTGTCTCCATTGTTTCCTTGATGGGATTCCGCAAACACTTGCATTTAAATAGTTTAGAAAATAATGGATAAAACTTGCTGTTGTTTATGCACAAACAAACTCTGGCAGTGTTTCTGGGGTCACATTAATCTGATAGTAAGTCTGTGCTGCTTCACCCTAGCCTCTCCTACACCAGCACACATTCAAGAGGGCTTGCAGAGAGCCAGACCGGAGAAGGAAAGAGAGATGAGGTTGATGCTGGGAGGTCCATTCCTTTCTTAAACAGCCTGAACTTGCACGTGAGCCCTGCGTGGTTGGTAGCTACTACATGTGAACAAAACTTATTCACAAGGTGGGTAAGAAAAGGATGATGTGCCCAGTGAGCTCCCCGTTCCAGTCTTTGGGGAGCTCCTTGCTGAGCTGTGAATGTGCTGCTGCCTCATGAAAGCATTAAAAGAGCTGCAGAGATGAACAGCCGAGGCCACTTGTCAGGAAACTGATAGCCACCAACTGCATGTGATTTATTTGTGTTCTACCTTTTCACATCCCTTCGTATGCACTGTCCTGCTAGAGAGCCCATTCTGGACCTTGTACCTGCTACTGCCTCCAAAGGACTCTTGCTCCTGGCATGCAACCATCCATGGAGAATCATAGAATCATAGAATCATAGAATGCTTAGGGTTGGAAGGGACCTCTAGAGATCATCTAGTCCAACCCCCCTGCATACGCAGGGACACCTAGAGCACGTGGCACAGGACTGCATCCAAGCGGGTTTTGAAGATCTCCAGAGAAGGAGACTCCACAAGACAGTGGTGTCAGAGGCCCTTGGTGGGCTGTGTGGTATGATACTAGCTGCCTTAGCACTGCCCTGCTTGACTCTAGGGGAGGGTTAATGGCTGAGAAGCTGCAGTGGAAGGAGGTGCCAGATGGGCTGTGTAGACCCTCTTTGCATTAGCCCTCGCTGCTCCCAGTGTATTTGACCAATGCCTGAAGATCTGGTAGAGCCCTATCATCTCATTCGGAATGAAAAAAATGGCTGGGGAGCAGATCCTGTGAGCTAGGCATCCAATGACTAGCACGTAAGTGTTCTTTGGGGTCTGGGCGTTTTTGTTTTTTTTGTTTGTTTGTTTTGTTTGTTTTTTTTTTTCTGTCATTTCAAGATAAATGCTAGAGATTTATTGGCTTTGATACAGGTAAAGAAAAGGGAATGGGTTTCTTGGCCAGCATTTTTCCCTGTGGGAGAAATCTGTGCTTGGGTGTGAAGGCAGAACAGCTGCCACATTTGCCTGCCTAGCTCCTGCATTGCTGCGCTCTGAACTCTGCTGTGGAGGTCCTTGGACCTGGAAGTGTTTTTGTTGGGAGAGGGGCACTATAAAACCTGCATTCTGCTCTCTGAGCATCACACCTAGCCACTGCCTAACCAAGCATAATATATTGTGTGAGATGACGCAGTAAGATTGCAAGAGACATATTTTAAAGAGAGCAAATATAGCATTGAAGTGAGTGAGCAAGGGAGTGAGAGACAGAGAGTGCACAGAGTGCATTAAAGTTAATAAAGCATCACAGGAATGGGGACCACATTTCTTTGTGAAGGAATCTAATTTAGTGACTCGTAATTGGAGGATAACAGTCCTGCTGGAATGAAGTTAGCTGTTCATTTTGCCAAACTCTCAAAGTCTCTTGGTTCTCCTCATGAGCATCACTCAGAAAGTAGATCCGTCAGAGAGTTCAAAATCGATTGATGCTTCATACACACAGTCCTTTCAGCCTCCTAAATGGATTTGGTTCCTCCCATGCATATTTATTATCTATTTTATTATCTGCTTATTTATCCAATAATATCAGTGTGGGATACATTCTCCCTGCTAGCCTCCTGTGGGAGGAGAGGACCAGGTTCTGCCCTGGGAAAGAGGAACAGATGCTGAGCCTATGTGTTTTCCTTGCCAGGGCATCATGGGGCCCCTTTTGCTCTTTTGCTGGGATGACTGGTACTGAGTAGATTTCTAGCTCCCCTAAAGTCCTGCCTGTCATGTTCTGTGGCTTTCTATCAGTTTCACAGGGGTATATATATATATAACAACGAATGGTATGGAAGGGTCCAGGTATTGGATCCTGCAAGACCAGAGGGCAGAGGGTGTAGTGCAAATAAACATCGGGCCAGTGTATTTATTCTAAGTGTGTGTATATCTATATATCTATACATATATGTATATGTATATATAATGTAATTACATACATATATATATCACTCTTAACGGATTTGTGGACATGAAGAGCTGAATACAAGTTTTGGAGATGAGGGAAGAGTCTCCTACAATTTCAAATACCCCAAACCTGTTTGGGGTAGTAATGTGGCCCTGTTTAGGATTGTCAAGCAGTGCTGCCTCTCTTGGGTTTGGTGAGGTGACTGGTGGGGGTCACAGTTCTCCTTTTTTTTTTTTCACAGACCAGAAGAGTTCTAATAATATTTAGTGTTTATGAAATGCCTTGAGGATGAAAAGTGCTGTGGGAATGTGAAGTATTATTGAAACAAGATTGAATAAAGAAAGAGCTATGAAAAAATCCATAGGGAACAGTCCTACTCAGGCAGGGGTTGGAGAGATGACCTCAGTGTTTTTTTCCATTTCTACTGTTATGGTTATGAGATAAAGTGGACATGTTCAGGGAAAGGATCACTGTAAAATCCTTGGCTGTGGTAGCTGAGGGTGAACTTTTGTAAGCTTTGTTCACCTTCTGTTTCCAGGCAAAAATAACTGCCATGTAGGGCTTGGAGAGAACATCTACCCTGCACTATACTGATTGTTTTTTTTTTTTTTTTCCTTGATCAACTGGAAATGTTGTGTTCCTGATTTTGTAAAAATAAATCAACCTTGTATGAGTGAAAGACATGTGATTGACAGTACTATATTTGGATTGGAACTATGTGTGTGTCCCAGTGGTAGGAAGGTTGTATGCAATGCATGTACACGTACACAGTGTAAACTCTCCCTGCCCACACACATTTAGTGGCCTTGCCCGTCTGTGCTTACTTTAGTCTAGATGGGCTGGGTTGAAAAAGCAAAAGGGAATCCTGTCTTCCTGGTCTCTTCAACCTCTCTGCTTATACATCCTGCAGAAGGCCAAAATGATTGCAAATATCAATAATTCCTTTATTTAGCGAGCAAGTATTTAGACATAGGCTTGACATAAGCAATTAGTTTCACAAAGGCAGCCAAACAGCCCTCAAAGGACAATTCTCAATCACTTTTGACTTGAGTCGCAAAGTGACACAGGACCTGAGAGATGACATGATCCTATCTTCTGCTGACAGCTGCTCTCTGAATGGTTCAAAACTCTGAAGTAGAGAGTGGACTATCTCAGGGAATTTGACAATTCCTCTGATTTTAACAGAACTCCAAATATGGCCAAAGGGCTAGACATCAGTCAAGAGGAACATATAGACTTTTCTGGTGGGTTGAAAGCTTGTGGATGAGGAAAATCAAGGGTTCTGCCTTGAAACTTAGTGCATGTATTGCATTGTCAATTAATCACTTTCCTTTTATCTCTCCCTCCCTCCCTTTTATTTCTTTCTTGCTCAGGGAGTGTAAGAGCCGAAGATGAGGCCCAGAGTAGAGTGCTACTCTCCAAGGTTTTGGCTGGTGCTGGCTGTCCTCGCAACAACAGGGAGCGGGGCCCATGCCCAGAAAAGCCACCCGAGCATTGGCATTGCAGTCATCCTGGTGGGGACCTCAGACGAAGTGGCCATCAAAGACGCCCACGAGAAAGATGACTTCCACCACCTCTCAGTGGTGCCCCGGGTGGAGCTGGTGGCCATGAATGAGACAGATCCCAAGAGCATCATCACCCGCATCTGTGACCTCATGTCAGACCGGAAGATTCAAGGGGTGGTATTTGCTGATGACACAGACCAGGAAGCCATTGCACAGATCCTGGACTTCATATCTGCCCAGACCCTCACTCCCATCCTGGGCATCCATGGAGGCTCCTCTATGATCATGGCAGATAAGGTAAAATTAAGCTTGCTTCTCATATAGACCTGCAGATCTGAACTGAAAATAGAGAAAAATATCGTATTCTCTTATCCTTACTTGGTGTCTCAAGGGTTGGGGAATGAGAGAGAGACAGATTCAAAAATGGATTGAAAGTTAACTCTGTGTAGCACTGCTGAGAAGGGCCTATTAATCATGTGGAATCATGAGGACTACAAAAGAATAAGCTCTTTTCTTCTTCTTTATGGTAGGTAAAGAGCCCCTGACAATTGTGATTTTTGAAAATATTTTATTTTTGTCAGTATTTTACCATAGAGGAGCTGAGAAGGCTAACTTGGGTTTTCCCTGCATAAAGTTGGAGGACATTGTGGCATTTTCAGGGATGCCTAATACAGCTTCTACATCTTAATTGAAAAATAATTGATTCTTTAATAAAGCCATCCTCTCCAAAGCGTTCATTATCTCCTGGAGTTAAATAGGTGTTAGCTAAAACAAATAACCAGTCTGAACCAGTCCTAGCTAAGTCCTTCTTGTTTCTGCTGTACTACTTTATTCTTTCACATCACTGACATTTCACTGTTTTCCAAGGCTAAAGTAAGTAAAGTAAGTATGGAGAACTCTCATGGGATGTGGCCTGACCTGACACAAATCTCCCCTGGGAGAACCAGCATACTCAGTTCACACTTGAGTCTACATTTGTCCAGCCAGTGCCAAATGCCAATAGGTCACAGTGGCCTCCAGGCGGATGCGGCCAATAGAAATACCTCAGAGCAGCAGGGCTGCCTTGCAAGTCCAGCACAAGAAAGAATCTGGCCTGACCTAATTATTGAGAAGAACCTCTTGGCCCCACTAGGTGCCTCATAAAGAAGCAAACAAGGATGCAAACTGATTATTTTTCTTTTGCAGGTCACTTTTAGGAGGATCTGAGACATATAACTAGAGAGAATCAAGTTTAATTGAATGAATGGGGAGAATTATAACCAATATGGCAATTTTTCCTCAGAATGAGATCTAACGAACAGAGAAGAGTAAGTTTTCTTACTCTTACAAATAATTAATTCAGTGTAGGTTTTTTATAGGTGAGCAGATGAGAATAAATTAGTCACAAATTATTTTCTCACTCTTTGACCAATTGTTCATTGTATAAATAATATACAACGAGTATTCAGGTTATTTTCTGAAATTGGGATATGAGCTAAAGCAACCATTAAATAAAATAATCACAGACTTCTTTTCTTTCTCCACCTGAATAATATCACATGTGATAGTGTCATTCTGCCCCACTTCACCAATAGCAAAGCTTTTCCATCTTTGAGAAGAGTCAGGCAACACCTCTGTGTCTCATTGCTCTTCTCTCTCTTCTTTGAATGATTATCAATGTTTGTGCAAAACAGGTCTGAAAGACTTTAGAGTACCACATTTCACACTTACACTGGCATTTTATACCCACTATTCAGAAGCTTCCAAACCTCCTAAGCACTGGAGAAACGTACTTGTGATTTTGAACTTGGCAGGCCAAATTCTGATTTCAGATTCCTGCAGTGTAGATCCAGCATAGTCCTAGCACCTTTGGTAAGATGAGATAAGATTCATACAGCTGTAATACAAAGAGGAATTTGGCCTATTGGACTTCCCAAAGATTTTTCTTTTTACCCATCTCTGGTCTCTCCTTAGGAAGGCAGCATGTCCTGCTACTGCCCTATATATCCCACTGACTCGCTTCTAAGGCAAATTCTGGCAGGCAGGCAACCTGTGGGGAGTTCAAAGACGGAGGTCTTATGAATGGAAAACTCGGTTTTATCAACTCTCTTCTTGTAGCTTTGTGGACAGGAGAAGCAGGTTACATGCAAAGATCTGTCTTTTCGGAAAGGGCAAGATTTCTTTTAAACATAAATTGAAATGACTGACCTTTACAACTTCTGATTCACAGGTGCGTAGTCTTTAATGGATAATATTTATTTGATGAATTAAATTAAAATATAGCAGAGTAAATACATTGATATTCTATTGAACAATACTGAAGCAGACTGGTAAGTCCTTAGTAATCTACTTCTCACAAAGGGCTTTGCTGTCACTGACTCTTAGTCATATTGTTTGCAAATGAGTTGTGTGGTTAAGGTTTGATCCTGCAAAGCTTCAACAGTTTCTTTCAGCATCCCCTCAACACCCACAGCAGTTGGCTGTGATTGAACTTGCTCAGCATTTCACAGGTTCAGACCTGCACTTACAGCCTGGCTGTGCTCTGCATGCATTTGCAATCAGTAGGACCAATGGTACAAAGCACTGATTGCTTAGTGTGACACATAAGATACTTTTCTCTGGAGGTTCGAGCAAAACCCCTCAGCTGCTCCACCTCCTTATATCTAACACATGAAATTGCTTTTTTACCTTCAGTGAGGGTTAAGCTGGAAAACTGAGACCCAGAACAGCATGGAAAATAATTAAAAAATGTAGATTTCAAGCCTGAATTTGTTTTCCCCCTGCGCACATAGGCAGATATTTCATATAATGTATAGCATAGATTTGTTTCATCTCAATTAACAGACATCTGAAAGATTGCTTACCTACTGGCTAGAAATCTAGGTATCTCTACACTCATGAGGTGCTGAAGACAATTCATTCCACCCTCCATAGGGTGCATTTAAATGCTTATAGGGTATTCCTATACCTCCTACTTGTTATTAGAACATACTGCATCTGACTTGCTCTTCATGCCTGAAGTTAAATGCTGTGAATCCTGTCCTAGGTATAACGTGGCAGATGGAGCTATGTTGCTGAAATTGTAACATCTGGATTTCCTGATTGTTTTGTTCAAATTCATGCTCTTTAATATTGCATTTGATGAGATTTTGTAGCTAATATTTATCCTTTCTGGTTTTCTCTGTTTCACCTGTTTCTTCTGAACAATTAGTGTATAGTCATTTGCATACACTTTTGGCATTTCTCTCGTAGGTGCTCATGTGCCTAGTCCCACTTGTTTAGCTCTTATGAAATGTTGCACTTAATCTTTGTCTTGTTTGGCATCAGAAGAAAATGACCAGATGATCTTGTGCACATTGGAGACCTGTGCCTAGTTCCAGGAAAATGACACAGTACAGACACATGACATGCCTCAGTTGAGCTCGAGAGAGACCACTTTTCCAACGGAGAGCCTCCTCAGCCCGTTCAATGCTTTTAGCATTTGATGAGATTGCCAGCAGTGATGCCAAATCTTGTGAACTGCAGTGGTCATTATCCAGCTGTTATTGGAGATGTATAGACTGGGAGAGACAGCTAAGGTGGTCCAATAGCCCCTGTGTTAGATTTCTGTAGAAAATCAAGTTCTGCAGTCACGGGGCAGGGTATAAGAATTTCTGCACTGTTTCAATAGCTGATTGGTGGAGATGCTCTGGGTTGGAAAACTGACTGTGTAGGAAACCTCTAAGGTTGCAAACTAATTGTCAATTCAGATAGGCACTCAAACCAGTAAGTTGTGTTTACAGACCTGAGACTAGATATCTGGACTGAGATTTTCTTTTTTTTTTTTCTTTTACTTTCTTTATTATATTTTCAGTAGTACCTACCTCAGTTCTGCTCAGAACAAGGAGGTAAAGAAGCAGTAACTGAAATGGAAATAATCATAGCAATTTATACTTATAGTATAATAATAATAACATACTAATAACAAGTTATGCTTATATCTATATACAACATATATCTTTAAAGAAGAGGAAATTGTTGTTCAGCTTTAGGACACATACTGTACCGGAAAAGATTTAGTTTTTTGCATAAAAAGCGACCAAACCGTGTGGCTGACTTGTCTATTTCATGACTATTACTTTTTTAAATAATGAAAAAAGTCAACATGGTGGTGATGGAAGCAGAAAGGGTAAGAGCAGAAAATGCTTTCCTTCATAGCCTGGCTGGTGGTGATCATTTCTGGTGGAAGTGTTCCTTGATTTTTCTGCAGTCACATCATTTTGCCAACACTTCTTGTCCTGTCCAGACTTGGAGCATAACATAAATGTAAAGTAACATAATGGTGCACATGCAATACTCAGGAAAAATACTGGAAGAAGCGGAGGGTTATATTTTTCCAGCTGAAAATCTCCTTTATCTTCTGTCCTTGCTGATTTCTCTTGTGCTTGCTCACAGAATACAACCCTCCTGATGGAAATAAAGTTGTATGCAAAAATGATCTATGCTACTGGGCTGCGCCCATAATAAAATCATAAACAAAAGCTTCATGAAACTAACCCCAAATCCAAAATCCTTGATTCTTTAGAGGCCAGATTCCTCTTTTCACACACAACTAGAAAAGACTTTTCTTATACTCCAGTAACTTGTTCTTTTTCCCTCTCATGTGTCCCAGAGCTCCTATGTCTCTTCAGCCTTGCCAGATTCAGTTCATAAGTCACTGTTCCCTTTCTTTTGTTTTCTGGCAAAGTCTCCAAGACGTGTACTCTCTGTCCTTAAATGCTGAAGGCTGCTGTGGTAGCCTTGTGCCTAAGCCACACTACTGCAGCAGTGGCATTCCTTGGTGCATTGGGAAGCATGTCCAAACCCAAGAATAAGTGTAACACAGCAGGGAAGGAAACTAGCTACTTTCCAGAGTGCAACAAAATGAAGCCGCACGTACAGGGAAGCCAAAACTAGTTGGATAAGCTGAAAGCCTAGATACACACCGAAACCAGGACAAAGTCAAAGACATTGGGACAGCACTGCTAAAAGCAGAACATCTGTAATTAAAAATAAGGCACTTTCACTCTCAGGTTTCCAAAGGTTAAATAATAGAGATGCATGGGAAATGCAAACCTCTTTTTTTTTTTGGATGTAGATTTCTTTAATTTTCACTAGGAATGACAGCTGATTTTTTAAAAACTCTGTGTGAAAGAAATTAAGTCAAGACAAAAGAAAAAGTTCCTTTTGAATGTATTATAAGAATTGAAGTGAAACAAATTCCAAAACAAAATGTTGCTTAAAAGGGAAAAAAGACACATTTTGGTCTGCAGTTATTGAAAGAGTATGGTTCAATGTTG